TATGAAAAGCAATATTAGAAACAGGAATGTTTTTATAACAATTTAAAAATATGTTCATATACATACGTGGGTCTTCAAAAAGTTTGTGAAAAAATGGAGTAGAAAGATAATGGAATTTTTCCACAATCATTTTGAAGTATATATATATATCATATATACAATTATATATCTATATATTGTTGTTGTTGTTGTTAAGTGCTGTCGAGTCGATTCCAACCCATAGTTATCCTGTATAGGGTTTCCAAGGAGCAGTAGGTGAACTTGAACCCCCGATGTTGCAGTTCAAATGGCTTTGCAGTCTGGCGCATTAACCCACAGCGCCACACCAGTTGTTGCTGATAAGTGCCAGCAAGTCGGTTCCAACTCATAGCAAACCTATATAGGGTTTCCGAGGAGCTATATATGGGTGGTACATGAGTGGGCAGTGTTTGGTTCTGCTGTGTATAGGGTGGTGCAGGATTGGGCAGTGTTTGGTTCTGCTTTATGTAGATAGATAAGGTGGTATAGGAGCAGGCAGTGTTTGGTTCTACTGTATATAGGATGGTACAGGAGTCCTAAAGTGACACTATGGGTTAATTCACTGGACTGCAAGGTTGGTTTGAATGACAAGGTTGGAGGTTCAAGCTCATCAGTCACTCCTTGTAAACCCATACAGGGTTGCTATGGGTTGGAACCGACTCGACGGCACTTAACAACAACAACATATGCAGAATATACAACCTTGTTTACTGAAAGCAAAGAGGACTTAAAATACTTACTGATTAAGATCAAAGACCACAGCCTTCAGTATGGATTGCATCTCAATGTAAAAAAAACAAAAATCCTCACAACTGGACCAACAAATAACAACACTATAAATGAAGAAAATATTGAAGTTGTCAGAGACTCCATTTTGCTTGGATCCATCAAACTCGTGGAAGCAGCAGTCAAGCAAGAAACAGAACAATGTATTGCACTGGGAAAATCTGCTTTAATGTGTTCAAGAGCAAAGATATCAGTTTGAGAACTAAGGTGTGCCTGACCCAAGTCATGGTATTTTCAATTGCCTCATATGCTTTGTGAAATTTGGACAGAGAAGAATTAATGCATTTGAGTTACGATGTTGGAGACAAATGTTAAAAATAACCTTGACTTCCAGAAGAACAAACGAACCTGTGTTGAATGAAGTACAGCCAGAAGACTCATTAGAACTCAGGATGGTAAGACTTTGTCTCTCATATTACTGGAAGGGACCAATCCCCAGGGAAGGACATTATGCTTGGTTAGAGAAACAGACGAAGACCCCCAACTAGACGGATTGACACTGTGACAACAACAATTGTGGCAGCATAAGAACAGTTGCGAGGATGACATGGGACAGGTCAGTGTTTCCTTTTGTTGTGTGTGGGCTGCTAGGAGTCGGAGCCAACTCAATGACACATAACAACAACAGCAACAATAATGTATGCATTTTCAGTTATGTTTGATAGTGTATCCATGCCTTATTTTTGCATTGATTATCTTTATTTGTTGTTAAGTGCTGTCGAATCAGTTCCAGTGACATATATAGGGTTTCTGAGGAGCAGCAGGTGGGTGTGAACTGCTGATCATATGGTTTGCAGCCTAGTGCTGATCCTACAGTGCCACACTTCTTCTTTGCCAATTGGTATGCCTTTAATTTCCTTTTCTTGTTTTATAGATCTGGCTAAGACTTCTGGCACCATATTGAATAGGAGTGGTGATAAAGGGTATCCTTGTCAGATTCCTATTCTTAAGGGAAATGGCTTCAGTTTCTCTCCCTTGAGAGTGATGTTGGCTGTTGGTTTTGTATATATGCCCTTAATTATGTGAGAAATTTCCCTTTTATTCCTATTTTATTGTGTGCTTTTATCGGGAATGTTGTTAAATGCTGTCGATTCAGTTCCGACTCATAGCAACCCTGTATAGGGTTTCCGAGGAGCAGCTGGTGAGCTTGAACCACTGACCTTGTGATTCAAACTGACTTTGTAGTCCAGCGCATTAACACCCAGCACCACAATAGGTGTTGGATTTGGTCAAATGCCTTTTCTGCATCAATTGATATGATCACATGTTTTGTGGGGTTTTTTCCTGTTTTATTTATGTGGTAGATAACATTGATTGGTTTTCTAATACTGAACCATCCCTGCATACCTGGTATGAATCCCACTTGATCATAAGGTATTATTTTTTTGATATGCTGTTAGATTCTCTTGGCTAGGATTTTGTTAGAAATTTTTGCATCTATGTTCATGAGGAATATTGGTCTATAATTTTTTTAGTGATTTCTTTGCCTGGTTTTGGTATCAGATTATGTATGGCTCATAAAATGAATTTGAGAGCCATCCTTTTCTATATTCTTGAATTATTTGAATATTTCAGCTCTTCTCTGAAAGTTTGGTAGAATTCACCAGTAAAACCATCTGGGACCCAACTTTATTTTGTTGGGAGTTTTTGAATGACTTGAACAATTTCTTCATTTGTTATAGATCTGTTCAAGTTTTCTACTTAAGTCTGTATTAGTTTGGGTAGGTCATGTGTTTCTAAAAATATGTTCATTTCTTCTAGATTTTCAAATTTGTTGGAGTACAATTCTTCATTGTATTCTGTGATTATCCTTCTTTATTTCTGTCAGTCTGTTGAGACATCACCCGTATCATTTCTTACATGTGTTTTCATTTTCTCCTTCTTTTCTTTTGTTTGATATGCCAATGGTTTGCCAATTTTATTAATCCTGTCAAAGAACCAACTTCTTTTCTTGTTGATTTTTTCTATTGTTTTTCTATTTTCTATTTCCTTTATTTCTTTTCTTCTGGTGGCTGCAGGCTTACTTTGCTATTCTTGCTTTAATTGTTGGAGATTTTGGATTAAGGTGTTGATTTAAATTCTTTCTTTTTTTTTTTTTTTGGATGTGTGCATTTATTACTATAAATTACCCTTTGCTTACTTTTGCTATGTCCCAAAAGTGGTATGTAGCATTTTCATTCTTATTTGATTCAAGAAGCTTTTTTTTTTATTTCGTTTTTCTATCTCTTCTATTATCCAGTAGCTTTTAAGTAAGGTGTTACTCAATTTCCATGTATTTTGTTTTTCCCTTTTTATCTTCCTATTTTGTGTTCTAAGTTTATAGCAGCATGATCTGAAAAGATATGTTGTAGTATTTTGATGCTTTAAAATTTATTGGGGTTTGCTTTGTGGCGTAACGTATGATCTATTCTGGAGAATGTTCCATGTGCACTGGAGAAGAATGTCTGTTGTACTGTTGTTGGAATGAGTGGTCTGTATATGTCCATGAAGTCAAGCTGGTTGAATGGGTTGTTTGGTTCTTCTATGTCTTTGTTGAATTTCTCTCTAGTTGTTTTGTCCTTCACTGAAAGTGGTGTATTAAAATCTCCAACTGCTGGTGTGGTGCTGTAGGATAATCACTTGACCACAAGGTCGGTGGTTCAAACCTGCCAGTTGCTCTTTGGAAACCCTATACAGGGTCACTATGAGTCAAAAGAAGTACAGCCAGAATATTCCTTAGAATCCAGGATGGCCAGACTTCATATCTCATACTTTGGACATGTTGTCAGGAGGGACCAGTCCCTGGAGAAGGACATCATGCTTGGTAAAGTGGGGGTCAGTGAAAAAGTAGAAGACCCCCAACGAGATGGACTGGCACAGTGGCTGCAGCAATAGGCTTAAGCGTAGCCATGAGGTTGGGGCAGGACTGGGAAGTGTTTAATTCTGGTGTGTCCTATTATTTTCAATCGTCTCATCTGCTTGCAAAAACTGGACAATAAATAAGGAAGACTAAAGAAAAATCTATTCATTTGAATTAATATGTTGGCTAAAAATATTGACTATACCATGCCAGAAGAAAGAACAAATCTTCCTTGGAAGAAGTACAGCCAGAATGCTCCTTTGAAGGGAGGGTGGAGAGACTTCATCTTATGTTCTCTGACATGTTCTAGAGGGACCAAGCCTTAGAGACTACCATAGTCCTTGGTAAAGCAGAAAATCAACAACAAAAAGGAAGATCCTCAGGGAGATGGATTGACACAGTGGCTACTACAATGGGTTCAAAGCCAGCAGCAGTTGTAAGAATGGCCTGGAGGGGGTCATGTTTTCTTCTCTTGTGCATAGGGTCCCTGAGTAAGACCGGACTCCACGGCACCTAACAACAACAACAACAACAACAACAACAACAACAACAACAGGAGGCACACTGCCACAGACTTCCCCAGTACTAGATGGTAGGTTCAAATTGGTTTTCCAGTTGAGTTGGAACCGAACCGTAGACCTTTCGTTTAGCAGTCGAGTACCTAACCATGCACCTCCACGGCACCTTACATGTATGATGGTGGTGGTGGTGGTGTGAGGTGCCATCGAGTGGGTTTCGACTCATAGTGACCCTGCATACGAAGTTGATGAATTTGAAGACCTTGCAGTTAAAACTGAACTTATGGTCCAGTGCTATCCTACAACGCCACACCAAAACCAAATCTACTGCCATATAGTCGATTCGGACTCAGGATTGCCAGGTACAGAGGGGATGAACTTTCATTCCTTTTAGTTGGTCGGTGTCTTCTTTCTCCCCTATTCACTTCAATGAAGAGCATTTGCAGACCATCGAGGGCCACGCAGACTGATGCTGGAACAGGGGAGCAAACTGAGCATTGATTTCCCCAGGCAGTCCGCTCATGAGGGTGTTGTACACAAAAGCCTGGCGGCCTGAGGATGCGGTAGGAGTCAAACTGCCCCTGGAGCCCACAGACCACCGGCCTGCCCTTGTGCACCTCGGCCTAGCTGGGCTCGGTGGGCCTGCGGGCGGGCGCCGCACCTGCCGCCACGCGGGGGCGGGAGCCAGGTGGCCTGGGCACGCCCGCCTCGCTGGGGCACCAAGCAGGAAGTGACTTCGGCGCGGGACCCGGAGCGGCCTCGGTAGGGCGTGCACCCTCCGTCGAGCCTCGCAGTGCTGCCGAGTCCGGTGACTGCCGGAGCCCGGGGAGTGAGACCTCATGGCGGCGCTGGTGCCTGGGGGCTCCTGGGGTACCGGGGACGCCACCTTGGCCGCCCTAAACGAACTATCCCAGAACTTCACGTACGGGGCTCCTGGCCCCGGCAACGGCTCTCTGTCGGGCGAGTGGTACCGCAGGAACCAGGTAAGGGCTGGTCACCTCAGCGCCCCCCGCCGCCGGCTGGGCTGGGGAGCAGGGCGGTGCCGTGGCGCCCGCCATCCAAGGGCGGCAGGAAAGACTCGGGGGCTCTTCCAGCTCCGCTTCCGCTCTCCCACCAACTCTCAGAATACACTCGGGGTGTCCTGGTGGGAAGCTGACACGTGGTGATTACACACACTGACTTTAACTAGCCCTCTTGTTGGAGAGCGAGGTGTCCCAGCCTTCCGTTCTACTACATCTGTGATTGCAATGCGTCGCCCAGCTCTGCGGTCTGACCTCTGTTTCGCCTTTCAAGTCGAATCCGCCTTCTTCTGGAAGGATTCTAGGAGTGTGGGGGTGAATCTCCACTCATATTCACCCCAGGATCAGTTTACAGTTTTAAAAAAAGAGTGACACATCATTTTCATAAGCAGGGAATTCATTAAGGGCACCCGAATGTCAGCTGGTAACAGATTCTCTGCGCGTGTGTGTCCCCAATGTTTCTGCACAGCCCTTCCATTTCCGCGTGAGGAACACACATCTTCTCAGGTTGCGGTTGCGTGACTCTCTCAGTCTTTCTCACTGGCCCTCTGGGAAAACGTTGTCAGCCTTAAACAACACCAGTTTACGATGGAGATATACATTTAACAAGATCAAAGGGAGTTGAAGCTGCCCGTTTATTTTTGGCTTGGTTTAAAATCAGAAAATGAGCCTTGGCCAGCCCTTCCTGTAGTTGCATTTATATTCTTTCAAGTGAGGGCTAGCAAGCTTGAGATGGTGGAATTCCATCCAGACTTCCTCCGGTTTTCCTGTGTATTACTTTGTTCTTGTTCTATAACAAATCCATGGGTCTTTCTAATCCCATCACAATAGATACAATAGTTGTTGCTGTTGGTCTAGATTGGAATTTTCAACCAATTATCAAGTCTAAAATCCTTTTAGGTTTCGAAAGTGTCTTGAATATTAGTTTCCAAATGCTAAAATTTTATTTTAAAAACATTAATGCAAAAGATTATTTATATCAAGAAAAAATAAGCATGTTCACTCTTATTTTCAACACAGAGAGGAGACTATTGCTTTGTTAGTTTTCTCACAAAAGACGCTGAAATGGGAAAATGGAGAACCTGAGACTCTCTCAATCACTGAATGTAACCTATCCCAATTTTCCATTCTTCCACCCACAGACAGTTGAAAGGCAATAATCACTTTTTTTTAAAAATGATTTACATTTGTTGTTGGAAATATACACAGCAAAACATATAACAGAAAGTGGTCACTTTTTATGGGAAGTTCTTCCAGTTTATGTGTATCTGTTTATGTTAAAAGGATTCCCAAGAAAAACTAAAGAATGAATTTTCTCTTTTTGGTAAAGAAATTAGAGGGTTGGTCATTGTGACCTGCTGTGGCATCTGGCATAGTCGAAACCAGGGGAAAACATTGTTTTCACAGTGGAAATCTCTGTAGTCATTAGTTTTCTTGAGCATTTCCTGGAATTCTTGATTGTCTTGGCTCACTAACACCCGAATGCAGATCACGTGACATAATGTGATGCTAACAAATAGCTTTTACAAGGTTTTACTTGCCTTTGACAATGTGTATTTGTACACATTAGAAAGGGTGTGTACCACATATGCTAACTAAAATTACTCATCTATATTCAAGCTATTGCTGGTTTGAGATAAAACTGTATCAATTTTCCTCATGATTGTGCAAATTTAAACTATCTCATAGATCTGTGAAGGTTTTAACTTTTCAGTAATTGTATTTGTTTTAAGCAAAAGCAAAAATGGATTTTTTATTCATTCAACAAACGTTTTTGAGTGCCTGAGATGCTGACCAGGCCAACAAAAATAAAATGGAGTCTAATTTTCCATGTCTTTCCTCTTTGGACACTAACTGAATGTTTTTGTTGTTGTTAACTGTTGTCAAGTCAGTTCTGACTGTATAGGGTCTCCAAGGAGTAGCTGGTAGGCTTGAACCACCAGCCTTGCAGTTAGCAGTCCTTTGCTTATCCTGTAGCCTGGAGAGCTGCTTCTAAAAGGTCACAGCTCTGAATACTGTGCACACATGGGTCATCATGAGTCAGAACTGACTCTGTGGCAATTAACAACATAGACATACAGCTAGAATATAGAGTTCTGTAAGGGCAGTGAGCCACATATTTTCAGTATGAAAGGATGATGTTCCAGGATGTTTATTGAGCTACGTGGTGTTTGGGCAAATGAGCTATGAAGGCCACTCTAAAACAAAACAGTATGCAGTAAGTGTCCTGTGAATGGTATAAAGTCCTATGGAAATTCAAAGCAAACTTTCTTCCAGCTGAGGCCAACAATGCGTGGAGAGGTAGTATTTGAACTGGACACTTTTAAGGATGACTATGGTTTCATTGATAGGAGTATACAGGTGGAAGCATTCAAGGAAAGGGTAGAGCATGAAGACTGAAGTTGTTGTTGTTAGGTGCCATCGAGTCAATACCAACTCATAGCGACCCTATGCACAACAGAACGAAACACTGCCCAATCCTGGGCCAACCTCACAGTTGTTGCTACGCTTGAGCCCACTGATGCTGCCACTTAGCGAATCCATCTCACTGTGGGTCTTCCTCTTTTTCTCCGACTCTCCACCTTACTTAACATGATATCCTTCTCTAGCGACTGGTCCCTCCTGACAATATGCCCGAAGTGTGAGAGACAAAGTTTGGCCATCTTGGCCTCCAAGAAGCACTCTGGCTGCACTTCTTCCAACACAAGATATGTTGGTTCTTTTGGTAGCTCATGACGCTTTCAATATTCTCCTCCAACAATGGATAGCACATATTTGAGAACTAAGGAGCAGCCTGCTTGGTCCGGGCAGTGCTTCTCTGTGTTGTTGGTAATTCATAATGACCCAATGTGCAGCAGAATGAAATGATGCCTTCTCCTGTTGCTATTTTGAGCCCATTGTTTCAGCCACGGTGCCAGCCCATCTGATTGAGGACCATCCATTGTTTCACTAAACCCTCTGCTTTACCAAGTATGATGTTGTTCTCAAGGGACTGGTCACTTCTGATAAAGTGTCCAAAGTGTGTGAGACAAAGCCACACCATCCTCACTTCTAGACTGTAGGATTCAGTGACTCTTGAGGTCATAGCGCAAGGAGGAGATGACTCTAAGGTGGAAATACTGTTTGGGGGCAGATGGTAGATTACCTTAAAGGACAGGTTAAGACGTTTGGACTATATTTTATAGGTAGTGGGGAGCCATTGGAAGTACTTTGAACAGAGGGTGAAAGAATAAAAAGAAAATTTTAAAAATTTAGGATTAGCAGTGTGCCTCATTCTGGCTAGCTGTGGATTAAATCCAACCCACGGATATGTCTTGTTTGACCTACAGAGAGGTTTAAAAAATGTTTGACTCATTGCCAACATTTAAAAATGAGTAGATTTATGTAAATTTTCAAGTTTCCATCTCTTGAAAAAAATGTTCATGTTTTTCTCACATGAGAAGTTCTAGCAACACTGGGCTCCTGTCCTACATAAATGGGAACGGGAGTTGAAGTGTTAGACCAGATGTGTGTGCCTCATTTTACCTCCTCTCTCCTTGCTCTCACCTCTTTTTCCCTTCCGATACTGTAGGCACTTCAGTTTGCAAGCAGTGTAAGGAGCTATTGCCTTGTCTCTGCAGTTAACTAACTGGGTGTACTTGGGCAAGTCCTTTCATTTCTCTAGGGCTCAGTTTCCTCACTGCTAAAATGATTGTTGTTAAGTGCCATTGAGTTGCTTCCAACTCATGATCCTTTGTAGGGTTTCCAAGGAGCAGCTGATGGTTTGCACTGCAGACCTCACAGTTGGTTTGCTGTGTTTTGTTAAGTGCCATCAAGTTGATTTCAACTCATAGCGACACAGTATAGGGTTTCCGAGGAGGGGCTGATGGGTTTGAACTGCTGATCTTGTGGTTCAATCTGACCTTGCAGTCCTGTGCCACACCAAGACTTCCACTGTAAGATAAAGGGGTGAAATAGAGACTCTCCAGCATCCTCACTGCTGTCAAATCAATTCTGACTCTTGGCGACCCTATGTGTTACAGAGTAGAACTGCTCTGTAGGGTTTTCTTAGTGTAGTGGTTATGAATGGGGCTGTGAACTGCAAGGTTAGCAGTTTGAAACTACCAGCTGCTCTGTGGGAGAAAGATGAGGCTTTCTGCTCCTGTAAAGATTTACAGCCTCGGAAACCCTGTTCAGGGTCGCTATGGGTCAGAACCTACTCGACGGTACTTAACAGCAACAACAATCTTCACAAAAGTAGATTACCAGACCTTTCTTTCATGGGTGGATTTGAACCACCAACCTTTAGGTTAGCAGTTGAGCACCGACCGTCACTCAGGGACCTTCTTCAGACTATGTGGTTGAATAAAAATAATGGACAAACTAGGAAGGGAATGGCTACTAGAAGATGAGTGTGAGAAATACTAGGGGTCTTCAGAATGTTTGTGGAAAAAAAATGACATTCAATGATGATGGAAATTCTACATGAACGTTTGAAGCCCCCTTGTATTGTATCGGGGGTTTTAGTTGTTGGTTCTCTATGCTTTTGTATATGCTAAATATCCAAACTGACAAGGACATTATCAAAAGGTTAATTCTTCATAGAGTGAGATGAAAATTCAGAATTTTTTATGTCCCTTATTTGAACTTTTGATTTTCAATGGCTTGATTTTTTAAAGTCAACATATTTAAAGGGAAATTGATACAACTTGGCAGGGAAAAGGCGAACAGAGTGATATTTGTTATGCATTTATGTTGTGACACTTTAGAGCTATTATCTCATAGCTCCCTAGCCTCCCAGCAACCTCTTAAGATCCATATTATCCTCACCAGGAAACTTGTGTTAAATCAGTTGCCCCAAGATTTTACAGCTAGTAGGTTTAATTGCAAAGCTATAGTATTTTTATTGTGTGCCTGAAGGTCGATACTTAGTAACTAAGGCTTGAAAAGGATGTGGTGTGAAGGGTCGGTGTAAGGGGGAAAGT